TTCCCTCTCATTCTCTCTCTGGTGACCAAATGTGCCCTCAGGCAAAACAAAAACAAAAACAAAACAAAACAAAATCTTTTCTCTCTGTCTTTTTCTCTCTTCTGCTTTCTCTTTCTCTCTCTCCCTCTCATAAAAACAAACAAACAAAACCTTTGTGACCTACATTATTATATTAGCTTTGATTATTCAAGTTGTCCTCACTCAAACTCTAGACTTAGCCCCTCTCATCCTCTGGTTTCTCATCTATAATTGGGCTGTGTTGGTGCCAAGTAAGGGAAGCCTCACTATTCCAGATCCTCCACTCTCTAAGACATACCTCTCTGAGACATTATTCTTCATCCATAAACTGCCTTTTGCAAGTTTATGTATCCGTCCTGAGTCCTACATTACCACCCTCACTCCCAGTGTTCCAGGATAGGTTGGGGATATGTGTGAGAGGAGTCACATGGGGACTGCACTGGCTTTGTTTCTACAAAATGGCAGCCTTTTCCTAAGTTTACCCTCATTATTCACAAATGCTACAGAAGAAATTTTAAGCTAAGTCTCCTCACCTGCACTAGCCTTGCCATCTGGATACTTGAATCTGACCCATTCTGCTTCCCAAGAGCTTTTATAGCATTTCTTATTTACTACCTCTATAACAAAACATACAGTTCTCTTCACTTCTGAATTTTAACCAGAAAGATAATACACCACAGTAGGTAAAATCTTACAATTCTGGGGGCCAGGCAGTGGTGCAGTGGTGGAATAGGATGTTCTGCGAGGCAGTTCCACATGGGAAGGTTTGCTATTCAAGTACAGAAACCCCCTGAGTATGGTGGACACATGCCTGTCTGTGGTCTGGGATTGAAGCTGGGGGTAGATCACAGTGTCAAGACCCTGTTGGAGGGCGGAGACTGTCTCTCTCACTCATTGAAAAAAATGAATAAATAAAACTTTTAAAAAAAGAGCATGATTCTGAACAAGGCTGCCTGGTTTTGAATCCCAGTTCTGCTGTGTGATCTTAGATATGCTATCCACCTCTACCGTGCCTCAGTTTCTCATATGTAAATAGACATAATCGTGTCTACTTTATAAAGTGATTGTGGGGATTTGAAGAGTATATATTTGTAAAGTACCTAGAAATAGAAAGAACCAGATAAATGGGTTTTCTTAATTTTTTTTAAGGTAAAATAATTTTGTAATTCTATCTCTTCCGTTGTACAGAAGAACTCATCTCTTTCCTCATTTTTTTCCTCTTATTTAGCAACTTCAAATACTCATTTTCTTGCAAAAATCTCCTCTTTGGTTTCATATCAATTCTTACTTCCCTTAAAAATATGCCTTAATTAAAATCCAGACTTATGTCTAAATGCTTATGCTATTCCATTGTCCATTGGTTTCAATTCCTTTTCCTTTCTTTTCTTTTTTTTTTTTTTGAGAGAGATGTTTGCTATAAGACACATGTGCTCACCAGAGAGACAAAGAGAAACAGAGAGACAGAAAGCAAGAAATCACCCCCCGGGGGGATGGCCATGCAGCAGTACCTTCTCCTCCATTCTCGTCTCAGGATTTGAGTATGCACACATATGTGCCCAGTGTGAGTTTTAAGCTGCTGAGTCCAGGCCTTGAACCTCGGTAGACTGTGTGGGAGTCCAATGATGTAACCATTATGGCAGCTGCTTGTCGCAATCATCAGCTTCCATTTCTATTCCTCTCACTTCTTGACTCCTTTCACTCTTAGATCCTCATCATTCCATGTCCATTTTATTTCTCACTATGCCAAAGAACTGTGATTATATTGTTTAAGGTAACTAGTCTTCCATTATGTGACACATGGAAAGGAGAGAAGACTGGACCATGTGAAAGAACAAATTGTCCTAGGGCCATGTGCTACTCTTCCCTCTGGCTGTAGTTAATGAGGTTTAGTCATGCTGTTGGTCATCTGGACACTACTGAGATGAGAAAATCTGCTTCTAGGCTCACTCATGTAGCCATCAGAGGACTCAGAAGATCCACTTCCAAGCATATTCATGTGTTCGTTAGCAGACCTAGGCTCCTCCTTACATGGGCCACTCGATAGGCTCTCAACAGGTTGCTTGAGCGTCTTCATGGCACTGACAAGACCAACTGCATGAAGGGGGCCTAGAGCAAAATGAAAATGCAGAGCCCTTCTTTAAAGACTATTCGGAATTTCAAGACAGTGGCAGCAAAACATTAAACCAGCTGGGGGAAAGGAACCCTTCTAAGCCCAAGGCTATGTGAGTACATAGGTCAACTCTCGCAGCCTAGCAGCTAGTGTCCTAAATCTGCCTGATGTGTCTTTAAATTTTAGGACCGGGATTTTTTTTTTTTTTTTGGGGGGGTTTTTGCTAGGGGCGCATGCG